TTTGTCACCCCCCTACACAATGTCACCTCCTCACACTGTCACCTCCCTCTCACTATGTCACCCCCTCATACTCTGTCACTCCCCTTACACTAATGTAACCCTCTCTCACTCTGTCACCCCCTCTCACACTATATCACCTTCCCTCTCACACTATACCACCTCCTCACACTGTCACCCCCTCTCATTCTGTCACCCCCTCTCATTCTGCCACCCCCTCTTACTCTGTCACCCCCTCTTACTCTGTCACCCCCTCACCCTATGTCATCCTCCCTCTCACACTATGTCACCCCCCTCATTCTGTCCACCCCTCACTCTTTCACCCCCTCTAACTTGGTCACCCTTCTTACACTAATTTAACCCTCTCTCACAATGTCACCCCCTCTCACACTAATGTTACCCCCCACTCTGTCACCTGCACTCTCACTGTCACCCCCCTACACTCTGTCATCCATCCTACACTATGTCACCTTCCCTCTCACACTATGTCACCATCCTTCTCACACTATCTCACCCCCTCTCTCACTACGAGTATGTTTTCCTGGCACTATAGTGGTCCTTTAAGTATAATGTCTATGTTTAAGTGCAATTTTGTACAATTTAGTGTCATACATAATGTATTATTGTTTTGCATTGTACTTTTTTGCACTTCATCTGTCTGTCCATCTGTCCGACTATCTATCTATTGTCCTCCAGAATGTTTCACATGTCATATGGTTTTCCTGTTGGTGCTAGTGGGGAATTTATTTTATTTTTATTGTTACTTTGTTCTTCTACAAGAATGGCCTTTGGATTTATTATTATTTTTGATTCGTTTTTCATTTGGTTTGGTTTGACCATGTTCCACAGTAGAAAGCATGTCTGACCACTGGGTCCTCCTCTGACATCAGCTGATGGGGGAACCTAATGCACCTGTGCGGCGAGCAACACACATGCATTAGGCCTTCTCTATAGGAAATCATTGAATCAATACTTTTCTATATGGATTTAAAAGACACTGGAGGTCCTCATCCAAAGCACGAGGACACCCAGTGGCTTGTTTGGCTTTTCATCAGGAACCTGCAATCTTCTGAAAAGTTCTCATTCTACACATCCTGGGACATGTATTTAAACAACATCACAACCTGAGGAAAGTTACTTTTTGGCCTATTACATTTTTACTTTCCGTCTGTTTATTTGTAGCTCTCTTTTCCACTAACTGTGTTACCTGGTCTATGTCCCCTTTGTGACGATGATTGTTTTTACCCCATTTTCCTAATCTCACCCTCCACAAATTCTGTTTTCTTTATTCATACTTATTGTCTACATTTCCAGCAGGGGAAAAAAGTATAATAAAGTAAAAATATAAAAAATAAATAATACATTATAATAAAATATATACAAAAAAATACATATTACAAATTGTTTTATAATATTTACGTAGTACAAATGTTTATAAAAAATATTAAATCAATTGAAAAACAACAATATTAAATTGAGGCCTATATAAGGATTTTCTGTATTGAAGAAGTTTCAATCATGCCTTAAATAAAGCAAAAAAGAAGCTGTACCATGTTAGTTGAAATATTAAATAGAAAAATAATATATTTTACATGGCACTTCGGAAAAAGCTTTAGTTAAATAAATCAAAGATAAAAACTGAAAAAAATAAAAGAGAAAAAAATTGTACAATGTCGCTGCAGTAATGAAGCTGATTCTTTTGTCACAGCGACAGTGACATTATTAGAAGAGGGAGCTGTGGACGCCCTATTGCTATGTTAAAAATAGTTTTATTGAATAAAAGAGATGTGTGGGAGAAGATCAAATTTTATTGAAATTATAATGCATTACCAGTTCCTCCGAATGTAAAGATTTCAGTAAATGAGCAATTAAGACCCCTTTCTTAATTCCACCACTGTTCACTACAGTAACATTATTTACCGGTTATATTAAAGATGAGGTATATGTCCTGCACAATATGAGAAACAGATAATTAATCAGCTTTTTTTTAACCATAGAGTAGTCTAGTAAAACAGTTTTTTTCCCCATAATTTCCCAAAAAAGTGAAAAAGTAAAATCATTTAAAAATGCTAAAACTAATAGCAGACTCACAAATTGACACTCACGTTACTGGTTCAAAATTAGCTATATTTTTCAGGTTGTAAAATCAAAATTTATATTTTTATTCTTTGAGAAACCATCCCTTGGAATTCTCTGTGAATTAGGTTTTAGCAGCACCCTATCAATGATTTTCATAGAGTCTCAGAGTATGGGAAAATCAGATTCTTTACAATGTATGACTATATATTGCAACTAAATCCCCATTATAATTAAAGTAACATTGCTATCAAAAACTTCCTCAAATTTAAACTTTCATGTGGTCACCTCCAAAGGCGCATCTGAAGCTGGGGGGTGCCCCACTTTAATTATAATATACATTTGCTATAGAACAGACATATGATATGCATTGTGGAGTATATACCTGAAAGCACTATCTCTTTAATTGTTTAGTTTTGGCATTGCAGTTTTTTTAATTGTTTTTTTTTTTTAAATCACATTAATTTTGGATTATATATAATCACAATGCTTTTACAACAGATTAATTAAATACACTTTAGTTAATTTAGCAATATATAATAAAGATACAAAAACACCTGTGTGCAGGTAGATAACACACTTAGTGGGTAATATATATAAAAATACAAAAATTACCCTTAGTCAAAAGTGAAGTAGATGAAAGGACTCCTCTTATGTCCTTAGAACAATATTGATATACTACCAGAAGGCAATCTACAACACAAAATAGAACGTAGTAACGCAGGTATTGAATTTAAAATAAATGACAAAGCAGCCATGGCATCTGGGCATTGCAGGCTGTCATAAATACCATAAGCGCACTTTCGGAGCTTGTAACGCACCCCATGTAGCAGGAAGAATAAAATATTGCTGGCAGCCTGGGGCCGGCCTGTGTTTGCTGGCGCGCGTTGGCTTAAAGATGGCCAAAGGAAAGCGTGGTTCTGGACAGTGCTCAAATGAGTCATATTTAAACATCTATAAAAACAAAGACTCCGCATATAAGAAACAAGCCCTACGCGTTTCGTTCATAAAATGAACTTCATCAGGGGCTTTACAGAGGACTGGATGCCCCTGATGAAGTTCATTTTATGAACGAAACGCGTAGGGCTTGTTTCTTATATGCGGAGTCTTTGTTTTTATAGATGTTTAAATGTATTTTATCTCATTTGGTTTTTCTGCTCTTCTGATCCTGGGACTGGTTTGCAGCTTCAGCTGAGTTTGATGTGCCTTTTTGATACATCTTTCTTGTAAGTGTACCTTGTAATAAATTTTGTTAATTTTATTTAAGATACTCTGCACTATTATTATTTTCTATTCTTCCTCTTATACATGGGATTGACGTTCCACAAATCGAGAAGTTCATACATCATTATTTATGATATGCCTGCAATCAAATTGGGTCTGTGAGTGTAATCATTTATTTCTACAAATTCCCAATACACTACGTTACTATTCTATGTCCGTTTCTATTATTTTGTATTTAGTTAATTTAGCACTAGCGCTATTTAAATTTGTCTCCCACATTGGAATTGTTGTAGGACCCACAGATATTGGGGTACTGGGAAGTATTGGTGGGCTTAACACAATATGGCCATATGGTTAAACTGAATCCCCATATTTGTTTCATGAGAGGTTATTTTAAGTAGCCTAAAAAATGTAAAAATTTATTTTTGAGTGTGCGTTGTTCCTTAATTCTGTATTATATATACATTTTGGTCTCTACAACACCCCCATTCCTGTATAATGCATGTTCCGTGTGTGCCCACAATTACCTTTTTGCCTTATCTGACAGTTTGTATCTGTATGTGTCCATCAGTGAGTGTGTCTGAAATATATACAGTATTTTTACAAAAGTGAGTACAACCCTCACATTTTTGTAAATATTTTATTATATCTTTTCATGTGACAACGCTGAAGAAATGGCACTCTGCTGCAATGTAAAGCAGTAAGTGTACAGCCTTTCTAACAGTGTAAAGTTGCTGTCCCCTCAAAACAGCTCAACACACAGCCATTAATATCTAAACCATTGGCAACAAGTGAGTACACCCCTAAGTGGAAATGTCCATATTGGGCCCAAAGTGTCAATATTTTGTGTGGCCACCATTATTTTCCAGCACTGCCTTAACCCTCATGGGCATGGAGTTCACCAGAGCTTCAAAGGTTGCCACTGGAGTCCTCTTCCACTCCTCCATGACGTCATCATGGAGCTGGTGAATGTTAGAGACCTTGCGTTACCCCACAATTCCGTTTGAGGATGCCTCACAGATGCTCAATAAGGTTTAGGTCTGGAGACATGCTTGGCCAGTCCATCACCTTTACCTTCAGCTTCTTCAGCAAGGCAGTGGTCGTCTTGGAAGTGTGATTAGGGTAGTTTTCATGTTGGGATACTGCTCTGCGGCACTTGTCTTTGTACTCTTCACCTGGTTGCTGCCACACACGCTTGACACCATCTGAACCAAATAAGTTTATCTTGGTCTCATGAGACCACAGGGCATGGTACCAGTAATCCATGTCCTTAGTCTGCTTGTCTTCAGCAAACTGTTTGCGGGCTTTCTTATGCATCATCTTTAGAAGAGGCTTACTTCTGGGACGACAGCCATGCAGACCAATTTGATGCAGTGTGCGACGTATGGTCTGAGCACTGACAGACTGACATCCCACCCCTTCAACCTCTGCAATAATGCTGGCAGCACTCATACGTCTATTTCCCAAAGACAACCTTTGTATATGACGCTGAGCACGTGTACTCTACTTCTTTGGTCGACCATGGCGAGGCCTGTTCTGAGTGAAACCTGTCCTGTGAAACTGCTGGATGGTCTTGCCCACTGTGCTGCAGCTCAGTTTTAGGGTCTTGACAATCTTCTTATAGCCTAGGCAAATTTTATGTAGAGCTAACATTTTTTTTTTTCAGATCCTCAGAGAGTTCTTTGCCATAAGCAGGGCCGCCATCAGGGGGTGACAACCATAACCCGGGCCCCACATGTAGCGGCGGAACTGCCGCCGGTGCACTTGCACCGGCGCACACACACTGATGGGGCCCATGGGGTGGCCCACGCACTTAGGGCCACCCGATGGGCCCTATATCTGCAGGGGCCCGGTCAGTGCTGTGTCTGTCTGTATGCATGTCTGTATGTCTGTCTGAATGCCTGTCTGTATGTCTATGTATGTCTGTCTGTATGCATGTCTATATGTCTATGTCTGTCTGTATGTCTATCTGTATGTCTGTCTGTATGCATGTCTGTATGTCTGTCTGTCTGTATGCATGTCTGTATGTCTGTATGCATGTCTGTATGTCTGTATGCCTGTCTGTATGTCTTTGTATGTCTGTCTGTATGTCTGTCTATATGTCTATGTCTGTCTGTATGTCTATCTGTATGTCTGTCTGTATGCATGTCTGTATGTCTGTCTGGATGCATGTCTATATGTCTATCTGTATGTCTATCTGTATGTCTGTCTGTATGCATGTCTGTATGTCTGTCTGTATGTCTATGTATGTTTGTCTGTATGTCTATGTCTGTCTGTATGTCTATGTATGTCTGTCTGTATACATGTCTGTATGTCTGTCTGTATGTCTATGTCTGTCTGTATGTCTATGTCTGTCTGTATGCATGTCTGTATGTCTATGTATGTCTGTCTGTATGCATGTCTGTATGTCTGTCTGTATGCATGTCTGTCTGTATGTCTATGTATGTCTGTTTGTATGCATGTCTGTATGTCTATCTGTATGTCTATGTATGTCTGTCTGTATGCATGTCTGTATGTCTGTCTGTATGTCTATGTCTGTCTCTATGTCTGTCTGTATGTCTATGTATGTCTGTATGTATGTCTATGTATGTCTGTGTGTATGCATGTCTGTATGTCTGTCTGTCTGTATGCATGTCTGTATGCATGTCTGTCTGTCTATGTCTGTCTGTCTGTCTGTCTGGCTGTATGTCTATGTCTGTCTGTATGCATGTCTGTATGTCTATCTGTATGTCTATTTATGTATGTCTGTATGTCTGTCTGTATGTCTATGTCTGTCTGTATGTCTATGTATGTCTGTTTGTATGCATGTCTGTATTTATGTATGTCTGTCTGTATGTCTATGTATGTCTGTCTGTATGCATGTCTGTATGTCTATGTCTGTCTGTATGTCTGTCTGTATGCATGTCTGTCTGTTTATGTCTGTCTGTCTGTATGTCTGGCTGTATGTCTATGTCTGTCTGTCTGTCTATGTATGTATGTCTGTCTGTATGTATGTCTATCTATGTATGTATGTGTATGTGTATGTATGTCTGTATGTCTGTCTGTATGTATGTCTATGTATGTATGTATGTCATTATGTGTGTATGAATGTCAGTGTATGTATGTCTGCATGTCATTATGAATGTGTGTATGTATGGATGTCAGTGTCTGTATGAATTTATGTATGCCAGTATGAATGTATGTCTGTATGTCATTATGAATGTATGTCTGTGTATGTATGTGTGTATAGATGTCAGTGTCTGTATGCCAGTATGAATGTATCACTGCCTGTCTGTATGTCATTATGAATGTATGTCTGTGTATGTATGTGTGTATAGATGTCAGTGTCTGTATGCCAGTATGAATGTATCACTGTCTGTCTGTATGTCATTATGAATGTGTCTGTGTCTGTATGTCCTTATGCATGTGTGTCTGTATGTATGTTAGTATGTGTCTGTCACTATGTACGCCTGTGTGTCTGTATATGTGTGTATGGCTCAGTATGTGTGTGTCAGTATGTATGCCTATATGCGTATCGGTATGTGTGTCTGTTAGTATGTATCAGTGTGTGTGTGTATCTGTGTCCTTTTGTATCAGTGAATGTGTTTGTGTCTGTGTGTGTATTCCTGTGGGCGGGATTTGGAGCTCAGTTAGGGGCCCCAAAATTTCTGGTGGCGGCCCTGGCCATGATGTACCATGTTGAACTTCTAGTGACCAGTATGAGAGAGTTGGGGGAGCGATAACACCAAATTTAACACACCAGCACATTTCCACTTCGGAGTGTACTCACTTTTGTTGTCAACGGTTTAGACATTAATTGCTGTGTGTTGAGTTATTTTGAGGGGACAGCAAATTTACACGGTTATACAGACTGTACACTTACTATTTTAAATTGTAGCAGAGGGTCATTTCTTCAGTGTTGTCACATGAAAAGATATAATAAAATATTTACAAAAATGGGAGTGGTGTACTCACTTTTGTGAGATACTGTATGTGTGTGTGAGTTTTCATCTATGTGTTAGGGAGCAGGGCCGCCATCAGGGCATGACAACCATAACGGTTGTCATGGGCTCGGCGGTCCTGGGGGGCCCGGACTGGTCAGGTCGTCCGGGCCCCACATTCAGTGGGTACATACCGGGTCGCAGGGGGCCCTGCGACCCCGGTATGTGCCCACAGGGCCAGCCTCTTCTCCTGGGGGGCCCAGCAGCCGGTCACTTCAGGGCCCCCCCAGAGGCTGGCCCTGACAGACGGCCGGCACGCGAGGGAGCACTCTCTGTGTGCTTCCTCTTCAGCTCCCTCGCGCACCGTAATGATGCCGGAGCCGGAAGATGACGTCATCTTCTGGCTCCGGCATCAGTACGCGGCGCGCGAGGGAGCTAAAGAGGAAGCAGCAGAAGAGAGTGCTCCCTCGCGCGCCGGACCGCCCGCCTGCCGCCGGGTGTCGGGGGTGGGGGAGGGAGGAGGAATGAAATGTGAGGGGAGGGGGTGGGAAGGAATGAAACGGGAGGGGGGAGGAAATGAAGAGGGGGGAAGGAAATGACATGGGTGTGGGGGGAAGTAAATGAAGAGGGGGGGAAGGAAACGTGAAATGGGAGGGGGGGAAGGAAATGACATGGGAGGGGGGGGAAATGAACAACTTGAGGGGGAGAGGAAGGAAATTTGAGGGAGGGGTGGGAAGGAATGAAATGGGAGGGGGAGAGAAATGACATTGGGGGAAGAAAATGAAATTTGAGGGGGAGGGGGGAGAGGAAGGAAATTTGAGGGGGGTAGAGAGGAAGGAAATTTGAGGGGGGGAGAGGAAGGAAATTTGAGGCAGGGAGAGAGGAAGGAAATTGGAGGGACGGGGGAGAGGAAGGAAATTGGAGGGGGGGAAAAGG